TCGATGCTGGATGTGGCCAACAGAGCGGCATGACTTTCAATATCTGTGCACTAAGGCAATTTAAACGAGTATTTGAGCCCACTTACTTGCTTATTATAGTTTAATTTAGACAGTGTCAATAACTCTGACTAGCCGTGGGGGTATTTTTTCTTAATTAAACTACCTAAAGAGAATATTCATCTAAGAAATCCATATGGCAGGGACGAAGGGTAGAATTGCTAGCATAGAATAGAAAAATCTTCCTTCTCATTACAATTAGTTAACTTGCATCTTTTGAAATTTCTTTTACTTTCCTCATTTATAGTTGCACATTTTTAATTGTTTTGTTTTGGTTTTTTTTGTTTACATTCTAGTCCATACAGACTACTCTGCATTTGTCCAGGGACAGAGAACGATATTACCTTACAAGTCAGGGGTACAGCATGTCATGACATTCACTACTGGAAATTCAAAATCATCCAGATTCAGAACCATCATAATTCACGGTTAAAGAATCTTTCAAAAATTTCTGTCTCCATCCCTTCAGGGAACTTCACAACACAATATTTCTAGATCAGACTCCATTATCCAGGTCATCATTTCAATTTATCAGTGCCTTGGAGCCTTTGGTATTCTCAGCTAGGATGGTGTCATGTCCATCAATCACTAGGCTGTTTCCACATTCCCAATTTTCTTTCATCTCCTTCAGTCTTCAAAAGACCTCTATAACTTCACGTGGCCGTACACAGGACACAGACACCTCTTACTTTTGTCAGCTGTTCCCATGCTTTAAATACAGGAACTGATCTGTACCAATTAAGAGGACCTTAAGAACTGTTTTCATTCCAGGTCCTGCATATCACTATTTGTATTACGGGAGGGTTTAAAGATCCACCAGTGCTTCTTAGGGCTACAAGCATGGCAAACAAAAAAGCAACATGATGCTTTTCCTAGAAAGCTTATAGTTCAATCAAAAAATAAATGTTACATGTAATGAATAGGAGTAAGGACCTGTAAAAGTGAAGAGGAAATTTGGACTCCAGTGCTATATCCATTAATTGCATGATAGAAGGCATAGGTCTGGCCAAGGGACTGTAAGGAGAACTAGACCAACACAGGCAGATTTTGAAAAGGGTCTTGAAGGAAAGGGTATGAATTATTATTTAAAGTGAGTAGAAAACAAAGACCTAGCAAAAGGCAAGGGCAGGGCCGGGGAGGGGGGGAGCAAATTATCTGGATGCCCCTGCTTCCTCATCTCTATAAGGGGCAGTATAATCCCAGCTTTGAAAATATACATCACATCCCACCAAAACCCACCCCAATCTAAGTATAGTACTAAAACAGAAAGAAAATTATGATCTCAAAAGAGACACAGCAGCCCTGAGACTACTGAATTTGCTGGACCAATTACCTATCTGCAATATTACATACGCTCCAACCAAATACTATTAGTGTGGTTCTCAAAGTGATTCAAAGAGACTGCTGTACTTCATCAAATCATTTTTGGACATCTCACAAGCTTTCAAGAGAATCATGGTTCTTAAGAGTAAAGCAAACAGACCATTTGTTCACATGTTTCAGTACAAGCTGGTTTTCAAAAACTTTCTTTCTTCCATGTTTTTTCTACTTGAATTTTTATATTTTTTTAGAGGTAAGAAAAATCTTCACAAACGTCAGCTTCTTTTGTTCTGTTAAGACAGCAAAAAGTGGTTTCCAGTACTCCATTAAACCAGGACTCGCATCTGCCCGTCTGCAGGGAAAGCAGGCTGAGGCATCAGAAGTATTGCAGTTAGTGATTTTAATCCTTCTGATGCAATCAGTCTGCAATGCGATCTGATTAAATTTAAAGAATCAAACCTGAAGTCCAGTACTTCAGGTCCAGAGATAAATAGACAAATAGTATGAAAGAGCAGTCTGCTATGGGCTTAAATAAACTCTAGACTCCACAGTTCAGGTTAAGATTTCTAAAGGATGCAAACCAGGTGGATTGATTTAACACAGCATTAAAAAACCATCTGGGAAAGAAAAACATGTACATCAAAAAATAATCGTAAGACAATCTTCTCAGTGTAAAGTAATTAGTGGAATATGTGACATATAAAATAAATTTCTGCACATATGCCCACACTGCCACCATCAGCCTCGCTTTCTCATTTATTTAGGTGAACCTGTAATTAGCAAACAGGCACTTACTCATGGATAACAACAGAGGTGCTGAGCTGCTGGAGACTTCGACACTGCTGCAAAATAGACTGTGTGTTCATGTGTGTTTGTGCAATGGACACTTGCTGTGCAATATTATCTTGTCTCTACAGATAAATTAGTTGTATCATGCTCCTGCCAGCTTGATTTGTTTAGCCTTTACAGAGTACATGGAGTTTCTTGTGATTGAATCTCACATAAAAGGTAAACCTAAGAGTTTATTCTACACTATGCTATACATCCACCAAGGCAGCTAGAGCATTTGCTGAAGGCTATAAAATATACTGGGGAAATCTTGAAACGTCACTCACTTGACATAGCAGTAAGAGCCCCCTGTATTAAGATGCAGAGCTGATTTCCCTGATCCATGAAATTGCCTCGATATTGAAGGCATTCTTAAACAGAACCAGAATGAAACTCACCCTCCATTCCTGGCACAAGGACACCACTGGTTTTGTGTTCTCCAAGAAAAAACAGAGCCCAAAATTGCAGAGATAAATATTCTTTAAGAGAGGACCTAAACACAACTTCCTTCCTTTCTCAAGTGAGAATAAATAAGTATTCTGAATGTCTTTAATTGCTAACACATTGCTCAGAGATGCTCAGGTTCTCTGTTGTGAGCTGGTGCAAGAACCTCAGGGCTGGAATTTAATAGCCTGTATGGTTCCCCTCCTTCCTGTAATTCTTTTTGTACATAGCACGTACAATAACCTGTATTTATACAGGTATATACAATAATACAAAATACAAATGGAAAGGACTCTTGAAGCCATCTGGTATGGGACCCCTTCAAAGCAAGATCAGTTACACCTAATTAGCTCCTGACTAACACTTGCCTATCCTATTGAAACAGAGACTACACAAATTCCCTTGGATATTTATTGTGATGTTTTGCTATTCTTGCTATTAGAGTATTTTTCTAATGCTTAGTCTGTTCCAGAAATTTGAATTAGAAGTTCCCTTAGAGGAAGACTGGATTATTGTGCGTTCTGATACACGAAGAAAGACATACAGAAACACGACACATTGCATTTAAGGTTCATAAATTCTTTGTAGACTACACAGATGTTTTTTTTAAACTTTCTGATTCAAAACAGTTTAAATAGAACCGACTATTTATGTATCCACCCTATTTTACACCTTAAAGAAGATCTTGATCATTGTAATTTCTTCCCCAATTCAAGTTTTGAAAGCTCTAAGTTCTCTGAAGAAAATAGTTGTTGGCATTTTTGATGATAAAACATCCCATAGTGATGATAAATTACAATGTTGCCCAATGATGCAGAAAAGTAGAGAAACGCAAACTGTTAACCTCTGATTTATGAATACACACTCTTTATTACAGAGTCTAGGGGTTCACAGCTATACGAGCGGGTCATTTTCATCTCATTGCTTATTAAAAGTGTGAGAAGGAAGCATGAAGGGTGACTACCACTTTGCAGTGTATTGGATAGATTAACACATAATGCTCTTTGTCTCCAGTACGAGTAAAAGATGATACAGAATTTCCTGTCTTTTAAGGCCTACATAAGCATTTGTTACTCTTCATAATCACAGAAGATGGGAATTCTTACATCTAGTTTTGCTCATTCATACTAGCAAATTTTCTCACATTCTAATATAACCATTCTTAGAAACCTTTTCTTTACACAGAAAAAAATCATTTGTCCAAGATATCAAAAGAAATCTTGTGATCTGCTTGTTAAAACAGGTGTTAATGACAAAATTTTCTTTGGAAAGTATTTAAACTGAGACTTTCGCCTACCAACAGGCATTCCCAGTGAAACCAACCCAATGCACTGTAAGTCAAGAGCTGAGGAATCTGTTTTCTCGCAATATTGAAGTAAATCGTATTGCATTTCTTCATCACTCCTCAGCTTCCCAAAGCTTGGGGATTTTCCAATTTCTTCTCTCTCCTTATTACCTCTCTGCTAAATATTCAAAGCCGGCAACAAAAAGTAGTAGGAAAAATAGGGTCAATGCAGAAAATTGGAGAGAATTTTCTATACGCTGTCATTTGGTTGTTACAGTTACCTTAATCAACCCAAACAGCTTTTCTGACATCTAATCTGATTTTACAAAGTGCTTAACCCATAGCCATATTTGACTTTCCTTTGATTCCAAACGTAAAAAAATAGCCTTTATCTCATGTTCAGGCATATAATCTAACTACATAGGCATTTGCATTGCGAGGCAGTGAAACATGGCTGGAGACCCATCTTGGATGTTATCTATGTTATTACTCAAGTGGAGAGAATAACCACAAATCCTTCTCTTCCCCTCCACCCCCCTGCCTTTTATTTTTTTTTTTTTTTCAGAAGTACACTTAAAATCTGTTTTTAAGCTTCACTGGCTCCATTACATTTGAACTTCAGTAATAATAACGTGATATAAGTATGTAGAGAGAAAGCATAGACAAAAAGGTATAATGTGGTTCAGTTTAAATATTCCTATAATTAGCTACAACTCATTAGGCAATAAAAAGACAAACAAAAGAGATTATGAATGGAAGGGCAATATTTCCTCCATAAAACAAACAAAAAACTTTAACAGATGCCTCTTTTCTAAGGCTTTCCTTGTATAAATACAGCCAGTAACTTAGAAAAGATATTTTCATGACCAAAAATTTTGTCTAGAAGTAGAACCTGCAAACATTATCCTGTGCAATTTCAATAAAAAACTATTTACAGCTATTGTACACTTGGGATTTTTTTCATCTCAAGGATAAAACAACAATACAGCAATGGTCTGCAGATGACTAGCTTTGATCTTTTATCAGTTCCTATAATTGTCTCTTAATTTGTACAATAAGCACTCACCTTCACCGTTTGTCCAGCCTCGGGGCCATCCTGTAAGCAAAGGGAGAAAGTTCAGGTTAGAGGAACTAACAAGGCTCACACAGGGATTCAAAAATCTTGCTAAATAATCATTTACCTCCAATTTCACCATATGTTAATTTAGCATATTTTCTTGGGGACCATTCAACACAAAGTTTTGGGACAAGTGACCTTTCTCTATCAGGCCATGGCAAAATGAGAAACTGTATCTTAGACTACAAAACCGACAGTTGTCATTTTTCATACTTTCATACCATATTTTTTAATAGGTAGCAACAGATTTGTGATCCTTATGAATATAAAATCAGACACGTAACTGAGAATTTAATCAAAGCATGCTTGCTTAAATTCTTATTCTAATGAAATGGGCTTAGTCTCCCGGTTTACTTTAAACAGAGCTCTTGTTTTTTTTTTGTATCAAAACACCCAGCACAAACACCTGAAAGGTCAGAATTGATAACATATTTACATTGCTACATCTCTCTGCCTGCATATAAATAGCTGTGAGCAGGAATTACCTGTTTCCATCCCAAGCAGTGGGTTACCTGCTGAAGGGGGAAGTGTGGCTGCCTTCTCTAGGTCAATCCCCCAAACACTTCTTTGAAGGAAGAGCATTTGCTGAACTACTCACAAGCAAACACTACATTTGGGAGTGTTCGCAGGCTTCTTCCAAAGTTTTGCAGTTATTAATTATCCACACTTGTCTGCTGGTTTGCCTCTTAGTTTTTTTTTGTTTTGTTTTGTTTTTTTTTTTAGCAGCAAATCTGTCAGACTGCGATACAGTTATTGTGCTTCTTTTTTACGATTAATATTTTGCATTTATTGCCTCTTGAAGTTTCAATGTCCTTTTATCATTGGACGAGGGAAGAAGTTGAAAGCTTGATAAAACAAACCATTAAGCTTTTTTTAGTTGGCTGGTTTACAAACCTGAATTGAAACGGTGAGCGAGGTGCCGCAGAAGTGTTTCTCCACCATGTTGCCAACCCTCTGCACCGTACGAAACAAATCGGCCACTTCCTCAGGACACAAGTCGCGGAAACGCTCCACTGGCCGCAGAGGACAAACAAGGACATCTGAAGGTGTTATTGTCAAGGCACAAACACAAGCCTGAGTAGTCCAGAAACACGACTCAACCCCTAGCCCATAACCCGCTTCTGATCATTTTTGAATTGTCTAAATTTCTCCTCTCCAGGGATTACAGCAAGAGCAACTAAAACATAAGGCTAACTACAGGGAATCCTATGATGCTTTGTTCAGAAGTTTCCTCAAACCCCTCAGATATGGGCACAACGACTAAAATAAGGTCTGGATGTTACTACTGAGACATCTGAAGGAAAACAAAGTTGTCACAGACTCAAAGTTACCATTCTGATGAAGAGATGCTCATGTTTAACCCCTCTGAAAGTCAGAGACATTTAGTTCTGTGATTAAAAACAGGGGAAAGCCAAGGGAATTCAAGAGGGTTTTGGTTGTGTGATCTGAGACAGCGGTTTTACAACGCTTTTCCACATACGTGGTATGTATTTTTGAAAATCTTGATCTTACAACTCTAATTTTAGGTACCTAAACATGAAAAAATCTGACACTATGCTGATAATAGGAGAGCATATATTTCTATATCACATTAAGTACCATTCTCAAGGAATGCTCACCTGTTAGAAATATTATACATTTTTAGAAATACATTAAGATAATTAAGATTATTCCCTTTTAAGCATGGTGTTCACCACACTGCAAATATACTTTGATTTTATTCTACCTTGGTGACGGCGCTTTTTGAGTCAGTGAAATGAAGCTATAAAGTAAACAACGGAAGTACACAGACACTATTCAGAGTCACCTGATCTCCTGTGCTCACAGAAATTAAGAATTGCTACCGATTCCTCACTTGAAAGTCAATTTTATAACATTATTAATAGGGTCCCGATTTCTCAGCAGAGCCTCAGTTGTGTAAATCCAACAAGCAAGTACTTGGGACTTGATTATCATTTCAATTCCCTGCAGACAGGATTCTTTTTTTCTGACTTACAGTATTGTGTTTGCAGAATAAAGACCTTAAAATCACCTTTAACACCACTTGAACTTTCATGACCAAAGGCAATGAAAATTAACAACTTATTTTTTCAGTATTAAAACGAGTGTTCAAAGGACTATTTGAAGAAAATTAAGTTCCATGCCATTGTATTACAGTCATCTTTAATTTTACTGCACCTTGAAGCCTGCAGGTGTTCAGGAATATTCTCTATACTCCAGGAAAAGTAACTAGGAGATGCTCTGTAGTTAACAGGTTCACACAAAGGTTACAGAAACCTGATTTTCAAGAACCATGAGACATCTGAAATAAAGATCAATACATGCAAAAGATTATTTATTTCCATAAACACAGAGATAACATGTTTACGCTCACCAAGTTTATTGCAGGAATCACATTTATAATTCTGATTGGAGGGAAAACCAGACATTTTCTGTAAATAAAGAAGTGGGGGCAGGTTTTGCTCATTTTTCAGAGTCCAGATGAGGAGAGACAAGATTGTAATAGATATCTGCTAAAGTGGGAGCAGATTTTTTGACCAAGCTCCACAGCTAGCAGCTCTCAACAGAACAGGACAAGACTGGTCCCAGCTGTGGGTGTTAATCTGCTTTGAAAATCTGGCCCTCACTATTTTTAGTATGGCATCAGCTATGGCACCACTGTTCTCTTTTTCTCTTGTTACAACTTATGGTATTAAAATTTAAGAAAGGAGAAATATGTATTTAGAAAGAAACCAGTCCTGGATGGGGACACAAAGCCTAGCTTTGTTGGGTTTTCAGTGCTAAAATGCTGTGCCTCTTGGCAAGCTGCTGGGCATAATAAAACTCCTGTAACTTATTTGTGCCTTCCCAGCACGCTGTACAAAGCACCTCCACAAAGGATGCTATTGGCTGAACTTCAGACCCAAGGGAAGAGCTGGAAACTTGCTTGGCAAGACCTGATTTCCATACCAGGAATAAAGGAATAGAAAAACTAATTAATTTTACTCATAAAAAGGAAATCCATGTCAACAGTAAAACAGGAAAAAGGACATTCGTTTAATCTGAGTTCATTTTTCAAAAGGAGAGAAGGGAAGATTTTACCCTTAGGGCATCTGATAGTTAAGTAGATAATTATCCTTCTTCTGCAGCACTGCTTTATTATCATAGGTCAATGAACCATTTATAAATGAAGAATTTCCCCTCACTTACCTCTAGCAAAACTGCTGCTTACGTTAAGACAAGTTTCCTTTTTTCCTTTAGATTTTTTTCCCAGCCATTTCTCACACACCTCACCAGCAATTGTTTGTTCTCTACCTAGCTCCGGGCCACAGTCACAAGTATGAATTTTTGCATTACTCATGGTTTCTACAACCTCATACTAACACTGTACTACTTGTCACTGTGATGCATTGTAAAAAACATGGGCTAAACTCTGCTAGTGAGAGCTTTTGTTTCCACAGCACATAGCAGAGGGACAAGAAAGTGCAGTGTCAGCACTGGTTGTGACCAAGGCAGGACATCTGTTTTATCTTCTTAACTCTGTTACTAATCCGCTCTGTCATTTGTGCAAGTTGTCTCTGTGCCTCTCTCTCCTCTTCCACACTTTATCTGTCTTATCTGCTTAGATAGCATCTGCCAGTTGGTGCCACGGATGTTTTCTTATTAATCCATGAGGCTCTCCGCTCATGTGGGGCTGCGAAGTTCTCCTGCAGTATCAAATGACGCGCCCATAAACCATGTCATTCTGCAAAAAGGATTTTCACTTCCTCCTCACATTACCAAGACTCATTTACAACTCAAAATAGTTTTTAACTGTATTTCTGTCTTTGAATGTGATAAATAATTCAAAGGCACAATCACACACTGGAGCATCTCTACTGAACTTTCCATCATTTCAAAATAATTCTACAAAGAATAATGACAGAAATTCTGAATCAGAGCTAAATTAACATGAGAATGTAATTAGGACAACATTCAAGTTATATTTAACTATGAATATATAAAAAGGCAAATGTTAGAATGAATTCATGGATTGAGGTCATGAAGAAAACAACCATTGCAACTTTAAATCACAGTTTTACTAACTACAGTTTTTAACACTAGGATGGCTTTTACCTTTACATCCTGGTCAGATTTTAACCTGGATAAATGCTCTATTCACCTCAAAATTCTTCCTAAGTTTAAAATTAGATAAACTGCACAATGCTTTCTGCAATTACCCACTGCAAACACTGCTCTGAACTACTGATGTGCTTCAGGTGACTGTGCACTAAAGATGCAAGTGAAAGTGAGTCTGTACTGATGTCTGCGTGCAATGACTCCTTAGACAGAAGCATCTACTGCCGTCTGAGATGCCTCAGGGCCTGCAGCTGCCACTCCAGAAGGGCAGGAGTCTCCCATATGCCCCGTGTCGTATCTGTCAGGTGGGAAGCCTGAGTCACCTCAGTGTATCTGAAATGGCAGTAGGTGCCTATGTTTGGGCAAGAGCCCCCACTTTTACAGAGAGGCTCAGCAAGACCAGTGGCTGATACCCAGCAGATGTGCTGCATGATTGAAGACAGCATTCTGTCTTCAGAAAGTTTGAACTTCATGTTTCCTTTCTCTAACCACCATAATTAATAATTTCGTGATTTCTTCATTCATTCTAAACTGCTACTGACTGATGGAGATTCTATTTTTAAGCTTTGATGTGCGCAGCTGTTATTTCCTTCAAATTCTCTGAGTCAGTCCACATCATTACAGTGCGTGCAATTTAATATATCAACTTCTCCATTTTGAGGAGTGGAAACCCTTTATACTTTATTATACTTTGTGATCATACATTCCTCTCTCTAGATCTTCCAGGATCCTTAGTTTTTTCCTAATACCTAAATACACATACACAAATCACTATGCTGCCTTCACACACACTAAAAGCTCCATTAAAGATTTATTAAACAATTAGGAATGTCAGTATTTTCCAAAGGCTACCAGTAGACAGTAGACTAAAACTCCAGGTATATTAGTGGAAGTGCATAACCATAAATTAGCAGTAAAGCAACAGTGGATCAAACCTGTTATTCTCAAACAGAGCTAAAACCTAAGGATGACCCACGATTTCAACAAAATCACTTGTCCCTATATATTGGGCACAACAGCCCACTCCCTGCACAGCCTTGGGTGGGTTGTTTAATGTACCAATGCCCATGAGCCTCCTCCATAATTCAAATGATCAGCCTCTGCCTGATGGTCTATTAAGATTTTAACCTGCTTGGAAAAGCTCAGACTTGTGGCTAAGCACGGTTCAACAAGTTTCCACACATCAGCAGAGCAAGGATGCCGAAAGACATGTGCCAGCTCTCAGCCCTCAATAGTCAAGGTTGCACACACTTCTGTAAACCTCTTTGACTCCTTCATTGACTTTTTAGACCATAATTGAAGCCCTTTGAGACTGGCATTCAGAGGCATGTTCTGTAACAGGCACCTGGACACTGTCAATTGTGCCAAGCACAAGTACAAATTCCCCATGTACGTCTAAGTATTTAAAGATATGCTCACACTGGAGATTATGGGTCACTACTGAAAAGTGAGCATTTGTTATCTACATTATGATTTTAGTTGATCAGAGAGGGCTCACATTCTACAAGAAAAGCAAAACACATGGCCAACTTCTGCATGCTGACCACTTCAAATGCAATTTTCCTTCCACAAATGCACATAGAGCAGAGGCTGAAATTCAAAAGCACAGTAGCAATTTTTATTTGCTTTATCTGAATTTTGACTTTGAAGTCTAAATTATTGTAATTCTGTATTTAAGGTCTAAGCCAGGCTCTGTGTTCACTTCAGTAGGATTCAGATCAACCCTACAAAGTGCCCATTATAAATTTTTACACACAACTATGAAGGTACACACGTTCTGTAGTTCTGAAATGTTGGGAAAATGGCCTTTGGGAGTCAAAAAAAAAAAAAGCAAGCAAACCAAAAAAGGAAACCCAAAGAGGTTAAAATTCCTTTTATGTGACTCGCTTTAGAACTAAACACAGCTTTTTACTGGTTAAGTCCATTAGTTTGCTATCTTGAA